ACAGTTTCTGCTTTTATACAATTATTTAAAATTTATTTTTACATCTATCTTAATATATAAAAATCTCATGTCACTGTGTTCGTTTACGCTAATTTCCGAAATCGCTTAACCGATTTCAATGAAATTTGGTGGGGGTGTATTGTTGGTTCCAACTTAAAAGATAGGATAGTTTTGAACCCGATAGATGTTTCATAGAATTTTTTTTTTTTAATATATAAAAAGTAAGAAAGTCTTAGTTCGGGCGGAGTCGAACATTAAATACCCGGCGCAAGCATTTAATATAAGATTTTCACCTTTCCGAAAGCTACCGCTACATGGAAAGCCGGGGTATATCAATTTTGAGTAAATTAGCGTCCTTCAATTTCGGAATATTGAAGTTCCAAGCATTTCTGAAATTTACCGTTATATGAAATGCGGCCGTAATTTTAGTCCGATTTCAACAACTTTCAACGATTTGCTTTGCAAGCACAATAACCATACCGAGTTTGGTACAAATTGCTAGAACGGTTAGCGAGATACATATGTATATGTGATCATAAGTGGACGGTGCCAAGTTCATTTTCCAAAATTTTATCATAAACGTATTTCTTGGAAACGAATTGTGGCAAGCATCATTTTTGAATAAATTAGCTTTAATATTTACTGATTTATCGAAGATTTCGTACTTCTCTAAATTACCGTTATATTGGATGTAGGCGTGGTTATTGTCCAATTTTAAAAATGTTCGGCCATTTGGTATGCTGTACCAAGACCAACAAGTGTGCCAAGTTTAAAGAAATTGATGCAGCGGTTACCAAGATATACACATGTAACCATAAGTGGGCGTGGCTACGCCAATTTTCCAAACATTTATAATATTCTTATTTTTCGTCTGAAAATTTTTGTAAATATCAATTTTGAGTGAATTATCTTCAGTAGCTACTAAAATATCGCAGTTTTCGTATTTCTAAAATTCTGCTAAAAAAACTGTGGCGCCTGATCTAGTTTCCAGAGTGTTTCCCAAGGTTTAATAAGAAGATTGCTTAATGGAAGAAATTCTGGAAAATTTTGCATTAGATTATAACGGTACTCAGCGTACGAGTATAATGGTTGGCATTGCTTTATTTAAAGCTTATATATGCTTAGTTCCTTCAACTTCAACGAAATTGCTTCCATTTCAAAAACTTTTTTTTTTAACTCCACTCCAACAGTGAAGGCCAAGTTCCAGAAAAGTCTACACACTACAACACTTTCTATTAATCCTTTCGTGATACGAGTACGTTGTATGAAGTTTAGCAAAATATGTATGAGCTTTACCAGGGGCGCACCCAGGAATATATTTTAGGGGGGGTTTTATATTTCTAAAGATATATCACCGGAAAATACTGAAAATTTGATTGATAATACGCTCTTTAAAATACATTTATGCATGTTTTATGTACAGTATGTAATAAATAAATAAACGTTTTAAAATTCATGAACTGCACTTTATTTACATAAGATTAACAGAACTCAAACACTTTTAACCGACTTCAAAAAAGGGGAGGTTATCAATTCGCCGGAATACATAACTTTTTTACCACGTGAACCGATTTCAATAATCCTTTTTTTATTGGAAAGATGGTACCTCAAGGGTCGTCCCGTAATTTGGTTTAGAGATCCGATGATTGGGTCATGAAGAAATTAACGGTACCCCCAAATTTGTATATGAGAATTGAAGTCGGTTGTGTTCTTTCCTTAAAAACTACTTGTTTAATAAAAAGTTCTATAAACTCAAGATGCCCTCAACTTTCAAATGTACCTAATAAAACAATTTTAAAAAAGAGTCAGTANTTTTTAATATTTCGAGTTGCGAAAAAATTACCTGAACTCTCAAGAAAAACGAAAAATTCATATAAAACGACGGACGAGAAATGGAAAAGAAATTTTCTTCTACCAAATTTTCATAAATCAGTTTGCAGCTCTCAAGAAAAAAATGCTCGTATATTTATTTCCTCATGAAAATTTACAGCAAAAGCAAAGCGCTTTTTCAAGCAACAGAAATTATAATAAATATTTCTTATAATTTCCTTGAGTTTGTATTTGAGGTTATTAGCTTTAGGGGGGGTTTGAACCCCAAAACCCACCCCTTGTGTGCGCTAATGAGCTTTACAACGATATGGACATAGTGCAGCTCTAAAAGTATTCAACTCGGAAACCGCTGGTGCTAGTAGAGGAAGAGGTAGGCCCCCATTGTGATGGAAAGACCATGTGGGAAGGACATCTAACTCACTTGGAATTTCCAATTGGCGTCAGTTGGTACAAAAGGGACAGCACTGGACTGATTCGCTTAGGCAGTTAAAGCGCCAAACAAGAAGAGGAAGAAAAATAAGAGTGGCGCAGCATATTTTTTAAGACAGAACATAAAAAACTGCGCCTTTCACAAACAATTTACTTCAACCCAGCCAAGCCAAGTAACACATAAAAAACAATAAAGGACCCATAAAAAGCTAACGATAAAAATACAGTAAATTTATCTAAATATTCGTTTAAAAAACGTAGACTGAAAATCTGAAACTGAAACAAACCCTATCATAGTAGTTCATTTCCTGAGCTTCGCGGAAAAATTCGATGTACATACATACATACATTTCGAGCCCTAACCACCTAAAAGACGTAAGCGACATTTTTCAAAATTTTCTTTTTGATGCAGAAATGTTCTTAGAGCAACTAAATGCAATTCTGCATCAAAAATAAAATTTTGAAAAAATGTCGCTTACATCTTTTTGGCGGTTAGGGCTCGATATGTATGTATGTATGAATTTATAATCCGTGACTCAGTAAACTCCTTTGTTGCTGCACATATTGGCAGTTGAGGTTTTATAACCGGAAACACACTAAGGTGTCATAATATGTAAAACTGTCCAACCTGAGCCTATGGCCATTTATGAATACCGAACCCATTCGCAAAGCGACAAAATGTAATAAATGGATGGAGGAAGGCTCATAAATTTTAATTCGCAAGAATATTGTTTTATTCATTAAGTGGAAGGCATTATGAATTCCCTACCTTGTGAAAGCGTATGCATAGTATTGAGCAAAACAAGTGCAACTACTGCTGTGCAGAAAATCCTTGTTGTAGTGCTTTTCGATCTTGCTGAACTAGAAATGGAATTGCATTAAAAAATGTATCTATGGTCAAAAGAATATTGCCTGCTGAGAGGAAGAGCGTGCTATCTCGGCAGCCAGTTCGAAAACGCCCTATCTCAAAAAACTTTTCAAGAACGCCCTATTTCAGAATTCGTTTCAAAAACACCCAATCTCAGCTGACGATTCAAAAACACCCTATCTCAGCACATTTTCAGTACATTTTCAAGTGAGATTGGGCGTTTTTGAACCGAGATCCAAGATAGGGCGTTCATTTACTCAGCAATCGGTATGTATTGTAAACACCTTTCGGAAATTTACCAAGGGAGCAACATACTTAGTTGCATATGTTTTGCACAACACCGAATATATTTACATATGTACATAGTTACTCGGCGATAAAGCGAGTGGATGTGAATAGAAATCACAGTAACTGAGTTTTTTGGGGTAAGAACCCTGAAAAATGGGAAGCAATGAACAATGCCGTCACGTTCATTTTGACCTAATTGAGAATAGAAGAGCAGTAGGCTAGAGTAGCGCGGCGTTGCTTTGCGTTATTGCGCTGAAAAATACCCAGTACTGCACATATTTATTAGCTGCGTTAACGCAACAAAGTAACTCAATAATGCCATAATGAAAGTAGAAGGAGAAACAGGCGAATCAATCGTCGTTTGCGCTTCAAGAAAAGTGTAAAAGTGAGATAGACAGTGGAAGTCGGCAAGTTTGCATATATATGTCTTATTCCCTCGGCCATTCAATTAGATCTGATGTAAATTCATGACTCAAATACATACTTAGAATCAACCAAAGGACATCAACTTTGTATTTGCTTTTTTCTAATTTAACTTTCCTCCTTTTCTCATTAAAAAGAAAAATATCTTGCTTATTTAATTTTTAAAATATTGAAGTATTTAGGTATATTCTTTAATGAAATTGTAGTTAAAAAATATTTCTCCACTCCATTTTTGCGATTTTTAGAGTAAAACCGAATGCAATTATCTTCTACTCCGAATTTTGCTTTGAGGGACCTACCTAAAGTTACAAATTAGTGACCTTTTTCGAGACAAGAGACAGCTTACTGATTACCATATTTAAAAGTCGATGTTCACCACCAAAAGTGTTGATATGCAACAAAAGAAATGAGTCGAACGAACACGCATTCAAAGTGCTTCTTTCCGATGCAACCCTGCTAATACATGTCTCAGCACCTAAAATTAATAAGTATTCAAAAATAATAATTAAAGACTCATAATAGGGTCTTAGCTATTTAATTTTTTAAATCTAGTGCGAAAATTTGGTTTTCGATTTTACAGGCGTTTTACTCCTTAGTCGAGTTGCTAAAAAAAATTGTTCGTTTAAATGGTAATTTAAAAATCGCTTGCCATAAAGTAGACTCCTAGTCGACTTTTGCAGGCGATTATCGCCAGTCAATAAATCACCTCATGTAAAAACATCTTAACAGAGAAATGCAGCGCCCCAAGAAATGCTAAGTCCCAATTTAAAAATTGAACAGGAGAGGAAAAAACTTCTTATAGCCATTTTCTTCAAGTAGTGCGCAAAACTTTGAATTCAATATTTTTCCTGTATAAAGCAAAGCAAAACTCCATACGAATCAGAGGGATTCGATCTTTATTAAAATATTTCGTAGGTAATATTTTGTCCTTATCGAATTTTCGGTGCCTTTTTTGGACTTAGCAAATTTTCCTTTCATTGGATATAACCGAGAAAACATAAAACAAGGACCTTATTCCTTTTCGAAACGATGCATTTTTAATTTCTCTAGCTTCCTCTATCAAAATACGAGTTTTCATAAAAAGTGGACTTAGCAACTTTTCACTCTAAACTAGAGATATAATCTATTAAAGGTCAAAGATTGAAATTTTTTAGCAACTTACCGTTGTGCCTTCGTAAGCATTCGTTAGCAGCTGTATATCTATTTCAAAATCCAAATCCACTTTGGCAGTGGTCAGCTGAAGCGGCAGATGATCGGAGACACCAGCAACAGCAGCAGATGTCGCGCTTACGCTGTTCCCTTGGCTGCCTATGCCCATTACTGTGGAAACATTGCTGTAATTGTTGTTTGCTCGAGCCACCGCTGCCGCAGCCGTTGTAGTGAAGTTGGTAATTTTTGCTGCTGTTGTTGTAGTAGTCGCTGCGACAGCAGCAAGTGCAGCCACGGTTGAACTGACAGCCGCCGACATTTTTCTCACTAGCATTTAGCGTAGATTTGTATTTTTGTGTAGTGGCACAAAATATGTATTTGATGGAATGTGTAACGGTGCTTGTAGGGCTAACAGGGACACACACATACGCACAAGCAGCAACCAAAGAGCAAGCAAAAGGTAACAGTAAATATTTTACAAGTGTGTGTTTCAACTGGGCAAGCGTGTAGGTGAGTGAATTGCAAAAGGGGATGTGTATGTGATTGTGTAGTAGTTTTCGCTTTGCTCGGTGCAGCTGCAATACTTTGAAATTCACTCACTCGTCTGTTAGTAAAATTAATTTGTATTTTATTTTAAAACAAGGAACCTTCGCGAGCGGATTTTGATATTTTAACCCCACGTTGAGTTTCAAATTCACGCTCGCTGGAAAATCATAAAACCTTTGCTTCATTCACTTTCAGTGTTTTTTCTTTATTTTTTTCTTGTTTAACCATTACACATAACTACACATTAATTCCAGTTTGCAACAGTGCGCTCTACACTATGGCATCCTTCGACTTGTAAATTCATATTTATGTTGAGTTCACATTGACGCTGGTAGGTTAGCTCGGGGAATTGGGTGTACTTAATAGAGCAAAAGTCAGAGACCAGAAATAATTTATATGCACGACAAGATATTTATTTTCCATACAGTATATTTATATTGCGGCCTCCGTTTTTTTGTTACATAAAAATTGCATTGTTCATATTCGAAATCTGAAAACAAAATAATAATGTAACACGTATGTATTTACGTATTTTTTCCCCATTTCCGTTCAAGTTTATATGTATTCAACATACAAATGTTAGCACTTTCCAAAAAGTCGCTATAAAATAAAAGTAAAGAAGTGAAAGAAGTTGGTTCTCCATCTCCAATGAAATAAAAAATTTAGTTGTTTTAAATTTTTTTCGAAAATTCTCCGGGTACAACTAGTGTTTGCCAGATTTTTGTTTCCAATCATATGGAACAATCGCATAATTTGTCCGAGCAAATGAGAAATATAGGATTTGCTTTAAAAGCCCAACTTCGAATCATATATTAACAAAGGTGATCCATTTCAATGAAGTAATGTTAAGATCATGGCAACACTTTTTAATTTATACAAAAATATTTATGTACGTGGTTATATAATTGAAAAAAAAAAACCATAAAAACATGTTAAAAAAACAATTGCGGTCAAAGTAATAGCAGCAAAATTCAAAATGATGCTGTTGGAACTTTATTTATTGCCAATAATTTTCATTTAAAATTTGGGTCGATCTATATCAGATACCACATAAATAAAAGAAATGTTCATCAATTTACATTAATTAAATTTTAATTTACAAATTGAAATTAATAATAAAATTGTCGAAAATTTGGGAAAATCTTTTCGTGGCGGAACATTTGAAATTTAATGCAAAATACTCGACGTCCCGGCAAATACGGAACATTTCGCAACGCTAGATAAAACCCATTTTCAATTCGCTAACCTAGCCAAAAATTATGCAAAGGTACGAATTTTGTCAATAATACAATAATCAGAACTGAACCAAATTCATATGGGACCTAGTTTCTCCATTGATGTAATTGAAATTGGTTTACGTAAGTAATCAAACATTATCAGGGAACACACATTACAAAATATTTAAAAGTAATGTAAAGCTCCTACTTTTTAAAAACGGTTTGAAATAATTCAACTTTGGTGCAAAAACGTGTTTTTGGTCGAAAAATGGAGGAACACTTATCTTAGAAAATGCATTATCTTCAGTTTTGTATAAAGAACAATATTCCAACGCGCAACTGTATTTAAAGGAAAATTTTAAAAATATGTCCTAAAAACAAATAAAAAAGTCAAAGTTCGTTCGAAGCTGAACTTAAGTACCCGGCCAGGTATTACATATAGTTTTTCGCCTTTCTGAAAACTACCGTGGTATGGTAAGCAGAGATGGTTTACCCCTATTTCTAACAATTTCGATAGTATTTTTAGTTAGACTTAATGAGATATACTTATATACACTCTTAGTTAAAAGTGAGCGGTAAAATTCTATTGTAGTGTTATTTATTTTTAAGGGATTGTTGTAAATTAGCATCCTTGAATTTCGAAATATCGAAGTTTCAAGCATTTCTGAAATTTACCGTTACTTGAAAAGTGGACGTAATTTTAGCCTGGCTTCTAAAATTTTCAACGTTTTGCTTTTATGTGGCAAGTAAAATAATTGTACCGAGTTTGGTAAAAATTGGTAGAAGGTTATCGATATATGTACACATACATACGTCGTCATAAGTGCCAAGCCCATTTTCCAAAATTTTGTTATAAGCGTATTTTTTACTAAAGATTTATTGCAAATATAATTTTTGAGTAAATTAGCCTCAAAATTTACTGATTTATCGAAGATTTTGTATTTCTATAAATTACCGTTATATGGGATGGGAGCATGGTTAAAAAATGTATTTAAAAAAAAATTAATTTAAAATGCTATTTAAAAAATGTTCAGCCGTTTGGTATCTTTTGCCAGGTTTACCGCTAAATCGATTTCTTTTTTTTTTCAATCGGAGCATTTACGTATACATTTATCTATACCTATCTCGATCAGTGTTGCCACAAGGAATTTTAATTTTTTACCAAACCTCTAAAAAAAATATTACCAAACTCATAAAAAAATTATCAAAATTTTATGAGCATAATATTCTAAACAAATTGTGAATTATTTTTCGACTTATGTAGATAATTATTTTGGCGACGACTGAACTACATCACGTCTGGGATTGTGGCCAGCTTAGATCTATTTATATTTTTCGACCGAAAGATGAGTTCTTCCTCTTCTTTTATGACAAACTTCGTCATTGAACTACAATTATTTACTTTTTAATTAACAACACAATACTATTTTATCCTTCTGATTTAAAATTTTCTTATTTTAGACGGATGACAAATTATCTTTTAATGAATATATACTTGCAACCAGCGTTGTGTGTTTTTAAACCACAAATTAAAGAAAACGTATACGACAACAAGTAACATCCGAACTGTATCTTTTTTTATTACCTGAAAATTTGGATAAATAAGAGCCTAATACCATTAAAAAAATAAAATTGCTGTATGGTAGATTTGCAAATTTTATATTTAAAAATTTAATATTGCAAGTTTTGAAACAGTAACTTTTACATAGCTAGCTTTATTTAGCTTTTCGCGTTCTCTCCTCTAGGAAGATTGGTTTGCTTCTTTTCTGCGACCTCTTCCACTAGGCACCGAAACTACCACGTTTTCTTGCAGTTTTCTAAGTTCATACGAAGAGAAGACATTTGAAAGTTTATAAATAAGTATTATAGCGACTTTTGCAAGAGTAGTTAACATGTCATGCTATTTTTTCAGAATATAGAAAAATCTTTCACTCTGCTGTTAAAGGACATGAAACCCACCAAAAACTAAAAATCGAAAAAAATTTACATAGCGCACTTTGCAAGTGGACTACTCAATTGTTGAATATGCTATATTATTTGTCCCTTCTTTTTATACAATTAAGGAGCGGCTGAATGGTTTAACGATGTTAGCGGTACATAATGATGTGCCGATTACAACACAAGAAGTAATTGAAAAAATTTGTGTTAAGCAACGAAGAATAAAAATCGCTTTATAAGTAATAACATATTGTAGACCTGTACATAAATAGATGTAAATAGATACGCGTAAATATATAAATATGCAGATATATTCAATATGTAAAAACTGAAGTGTATACTAACGAAACTTCTGCAAAACAAAACTGGACTACACACTAATTAATTAAAGTGGTGTAGTAATTTAATTTTTTAAATTTAAATAGAGCATGAATTCCCCATGGAATAACCGAGTAGACAAAAAATATATAACAGTAAAAATGGCACATACATACATATATGAAAGAATGCCCACAGGCGACGCCTCTAGCCATTGTGTATCACAACTTTAAGTTATCGATGCAATTTTTTTTTTAGTCCTGTGAAATTATTTTGTTTCACCATTGGTTCCGGCAGGTAAAAATGATCCAAAACCCGGATTTGTGGGACTGCAAGGGGCTGTGATCGAGCCGCCCTATTCGGAAATATGGGTGGTTTCCTTAAATTGCTACATTGCGAACTCATACTAAAAGTTCTGAGTTGTCATAAGTAGATAAGGATTTTTTGTTTTGTGCAATTGTAAGAAGGTTCAAAGTTATACATTTTTATAAGCAATAAGCTAGTATTAAAAACTTAAAAGAAAAGACTTACGTTGAAAAAAAAATTTCCAAATTACCAAACTCGTTCTAAAAAAAATTACCAGTTTTGGGAAAATATTACCAAAACGGTAACGTTGGTCTCGATTCGTTTTGGCTGTTACAAACAACCGTTATGTAACCAAAGTTATAATACCCTTGTACACAAGTGCGCTCGGGTATAAAAAGTAATAAAGTAATGTAAAAAAAATATTTTTTTAAAAATAAGCTTTTATTTAACATGTTTAATCAAAGGAATAAAATAAAGTAGTGAAACAAAAGATTTTTTAGCAAGAAAATTTTGTCAAAACTGCACTAAAATGAATAAAATAAAATAAGTTAAAGTCTCGTTAAAGTTACTAAAAGCCATTTAGTGAAAGGAGTTATTCAAACTCTAATGAAAATTACTAACAATTTGTACTAATTTACTTCGTTTTTAAAAAAGCTTGTCGCGCGAATAGCAAACCGGCATTTAAATATCTGCATACATACATATAAATCCATACATACCTAACCAATTATGCATGTACGCTGATTAAAGAAGAAGAAGTACGCAATATTAAAGTTCTTCTGGCGGGGAAACTTCTCGAGTCTTCTAATTGTATCTCCTTGATATGATGCCTACAACGAGGTTCATGTCTAGACTAGGTTAATATCTAGAATTTGCCATAAATAGCTTTGCTCTGGTTTTACGTTCTTTGACAAATTACGCTCTGTTAGCCATAAATTTTTGACCGACTTTGAATCAAGACCCCTGGACCATATAGGGAATTCATTTATATTTTAAATTGCATTGTCATCGTGATTGGAACTATACTGAAAATTTCAAGACTCTAACTTGTCGGGAAGTTAGTTTAAAATCGATTGGAAATTTCCACGATTTGCGCGGGACGACCAAGTTAAATAAAAGCTTATAATTATAATAAAAATAACGACTCGTCCTCATATACCCGTAGTTGCGTATGTAGCGTATACGCCCCGTCGCACCATACACGTCATCGGACGCCTTAACTTAAGTCATATTATTTAAAAGTAATTAAACAAATTTTACACAGTATTCTTTATGCACATATGTATGTATATTAGGGCGGGTCAATTTGTATGGATCGATTTTTTTTCGACATTGTTCCAAGCATATTAGGATTCTTCATAAAATTCTAAGAAAAAAATTCCTCCAGACCATAGCTCTAANAGCATATTCGGATTCTTC